ATACCACTTGACCCAGCAATCCCATTACTGGGTATATACCCAAAGGATTATAAATCATTCTACTATAAAGACACATGCACACTTATGTTTATTGCAGCACTATTTACAACAGCAAAGACTTGGAACCAACCCAAATGCCCATCAATGATAGACTAGATAAAGAAAATGTGACACATATACACCATGGAATACTGTGCAGCCATAAAAGAGAATGAGTTCATGTCCTTTGCAGGGACATGGATGAAGCTGGAACCATCATTCTCAGCAAACTAACACAAGAACAGAAAACCAAACACTGCATGTTCTCACTCATAAGTGGGAGTAGAACAATGAGAACACATGGACACAGGGAGGGGAACATCACACACCGGGGCCTATTGGGGGGTAGGAGGTAAGGGGAGGGAGAGCATTAGGACAAATACCTAATGCATGTGGGGCTTAAAACCTAGATGACAGGTTGATAGGTGCAGTAAACCACCATGACACAAGTATACCTATGTAACAAACCTGTACATTCTGCACATGTACCCCAGAACTTAAAGTAAAATTTTAAAAAAGCAATTCTTTTCTATTTGTTTTTTGTAAAGGCCATGATGAACCTTTCTTTGTAAGCATGTAGACTTTTATCATAAGCATTGAAAGAAAATTGTCCTATGTATGGCCTTGTAGTCTTAGTTCCTGAACAAAAATAAAGCAAAATGAAAAAATAAAAAATTAAAAAATTAAAAAACTCTTAGTCTGTAAGAGAAAGTGCCTCTGTCCTAACTAGGCCAGAAGCCCCTCTCAGGTTTATTCTCCAAAGTAAACCTATCTTTAACTGCTGAGCCAATTTTCATGTTTCTTTTTTCTTTCTTTAATTCTTACATAGAGCTTACAGTATACTTCTGAGTTCAGCTTGGATTTCTCACTTCATGCTCCAATCCCCAAACTGAGTTTGATACAAGCTGTGAAGATTTAGATTTAGCTGGGGACACTGTCATTAGACACTAGGCTTGAATGAGGGAAAATAGCTTCTTAACAAAGATCTTAACATTTTTTGATTGTTGACTTTGTCCATGGTTAGTTAAATGTAACTTTAGTGTAAATTATAGCATTTATTTGCTTTTATCTCTAAGAAATAATATGGAGCCACACAGATTACAGTAATTTGCCATTTTGCAAAAACACCAGAGGGTCAGAGTCCCTGATATATTTCTTTAATCACCAATTGCTACTGGACACCTCCCATGTGCCAGGCAGTAAACTGGGCACTAGGCATCTAACAGTGATGAAGACTGACATTGTCCCTGCTCTCATTTCTAATGGGGAAGACAGACACAAAACAGTTGTGAGAGGTTCAGGCAACACCCATATTTTCTTCTTAATTTCAAGATTAAAATAAAATGAAGAGCCCTCACTATATTATAATTATGTCCATAAGTTTATTCAGAAGAGAGGCCTGCCACTCAGATGGAAAAGAAGCAAAGAGAGCTTCCCAAACAGAGATGCCAAGGCAGAGGCTTGAAGGGTCAGTGGGAATTAGTGGAGCAGTATGGTTATAATCTTCCACAATGATAATTTTTTTTTGTTATTTTACTGTTTGTTCTAATATATTTTCTTTATGTTTATTTTACACCATTTTCTTAAGTGTATATAAGGTTAGAATGTTTATATTCATTGTGAATTGAATCATTATGGAAGGGCCCTCTCAATTCCAATGAATACCTTTTTGTCTTAGTCTTTTCAGTTTGCTAGTAATATCACTGACCTTGCTTTATTTTGATTAGCATGGGCCTGGCAAATTTTCTTCCATCCCTTTATTTCAAACTTTTCTATATTTTTATAATTTGCAAGGTTTGGCATAAACAGTGTATGACTGGATTTGTCCATTTTTATACAGAATGACAACCATTAACTAGAGCATTTACTCCATTAACAACTTTTTTGGGGTCTCTTTTGTAATTTGAATTGAAGCAATTGCTATTCATTTTTTAAAACTCTCTTATAAGCACCAAATTTTATTTATTTATTTATTTTTATTTTTTATTTTTTTGAGATGAAGTCTCCCTCTGCCACCCAGGCTGGAGTGCAATGGTGTGATCTTGACTCACTGCAACCTCTGCCTTCCGGGTTCAAGTGATTCTCCTGCCTTAGCTTCCCACCCCCAGTAGCTGGGATTACAGGCGCCCACCACCATGCCCGGGTAAGTTTTTTTTTTTTTTTTTTTGTATTTTTAGTAGAGATGGGGTTTCACCATGTTGGCCAGGCTGCTCTCAAACTCCTGACCTCAGGTGATCCACCCACCTTGGCCTCTCAAAGTGCTGGGATTACAGGTGGTGAGCTCACCACCCAGGGGTGAGCTGGGGCTCTTATTATTTGTTTAAAAAAAGTTTTTAAATTTTTTTATTTTATCTTATTTTAAGTTCCAGGATACACATGAAGTATGTGCAGGTTTGTTACATAGGTAAACGTGTGCCATGGTGGTTTGCTGCACCTATCAACCCATCACCTAGGTATTAAGCCTCACGAGCATTAACTATTTATCGTGATGATAAGCACCAAATTTTAATATCTAGGTCAATTTTGGGGGAAGGAAACATCATCAAGAACTTACTTCTGAAACAAAACAACGATGTTCATTCCTTCAAACATCCAAATTGAAGGTGTGCCAAAATGAAAACAAAAAAAGTCCACAGAGAAATAAAAAGGAACACAAATCACATTCCAGGGGGTTAGCGCATTTAGCAGTCTTAGCTGTGCTGTCTAACCATCCTTCAACTGACTTTCAAAAAAACAACACCCTAAACTCATCAAAATATACATTTTCCATTTGCTGTTTTAAAATTAAAAATAATAATTTAACAAAGAAAACTTTAAGGAAGTCACAATCAATTGCGTGACTCATTTTGACATCACGTACAGCATATGGAGGTCAGGAAAGTTATTTGCAGCATACGTGGTTAGAGGATATTCATCTTTGAGGTTTAGGTTTCTTCCAAATGGTGTAAAATACCCACAATTCCAAGTATGAAGAGACACAGACGATTTCCTTTGAGAATTCCAAAGGACACTACAGGCACCCCAGCTGTTCTTCATAGAGAGACAGGGCTTCCGTCAGACTGACAGAGTTCCCCTTGTGTAAAATATTTCACATCCTGTTTCAATGCTTTCATTGAGAGGTCGGGAATCAGTCTGAGAAACTCCCATGTGGAATCTTCTGGAGACATGGAGATTGGAACAGCTGTCACATCATTAATTACATAATCAAATTATCTCCCTTCTTTGGCATACCTTTTCAGTACTGGAATGCAGTACTGAACCTTGTATAGCAGTCTCCTTTAAGATTATCTAAGACATCACCGCAAGTCCGCATATATTTCTTACATCCATCAATCACCATTTCATCAATCTCTATCATAGTGACCATCTTTAGTTTTAGTTTGACTATTTCACACAATATGCCCCCATCTCAGCCTCCCAGAATGAGTACATCTTTGCCAGTGTAATCTTTGCCACTGCCCACGATGGCCCAGGTATATGTCAAATCACTCTCTGCCAAATTGACATTCCCACTAAGGATGAGAATATTTCCAAATTGCTTCGAGTGTAGAATTTTAATGCTCTGATAAGGTGAATCTTCATCATATACCACTTCATCTACGTTGTATTCAACCAGGAGTCCATCTGCTGTGGGCCAATATCTGTCGATGGTTCCTCCTGGAACTATAGGTGGTAATCGCCTCATCCACCAAGTACTGTCTTAACTCAATTCTTTCATTCTTTCTTCTCCTTTGTTCAAAAGACTGTTGATCTCTTCTTTGCCTTGTGCGTCACCATCGTAACTCTGAAGGTCCAGTAACTCCAATCCATGTGAATAAATTCTCAAATTGGTAAGGCCGCCGTTTTTGTTTGTGTAGGTTGCTAAATAGCGGTGTGGTCCTGCTAGGTGTCCACCGGCTCTGCCATCCCCTGCTCCTGGAAAATGGACTGGAGCCCTTTTAGAATGGTCTCGCCATCAGCTTTGGTGTTGAGCATGAAGTCGAGTGTGCTGTGCCATGCCGCTGCCATAGTGAGGTGAGACCCTGAGCCATGCCTGGGGGAGGCCGCCATGGGAGACTGGGGGGCCGCGTGGTGTATCAGGCTTCTACCCTTTTAACAACTTTTTTTTAAAAGTTACTGATCATGTAATAAAGGATGAACTTCAAATATGAATTTATTCCTAACTTCTTACATTTCGCTTTCTATTTTCCTGCACTTTTTATAAATCTTTTCCTAGTTTCCTGACTTTAAAAAATGATGTGATTTTTGTTTGCTTTTCTCATTGCCTACCTTATAATTAAAATAATAGCAGATAGTCTGTAATCCCAGCTACTTGGGAGGTTGCGGTGAAAGAATCGCTTGAGCCCAGGAGTTCAATGCTGCAGTGAGCTATGATCACACCACTGCACTCCAACCTGGATGACAGAGTGAGACTCCGTCTCTAAAAACAGTAATAATAATAGATAGTAAAATAGTAATAATATGAAATTATTCAAAATAATTGAAAATGATAAGAGGAGCAATTTTCTTGTTATGTATGATATTGCAATGATCAATCATCTACAAAATGTAATGCACGAGTCCATGAGGACACAAAGAGGGGAGCAACAGACATTGGGGTCTACCTGACGGTGGAGGGTGGGAGGAGGGTGAGGACTGAAAAACTCCCTGTAGGGTACTATATTCACTAGCTGGGTGATGAAATCTTTTGTACTCCAAACCCCAGCAACTCCCAATTTATCCATATAACAAACCTGCACATGGACCCCTGAACCTAAAACAAAGATTGGAAGAAAAAAAAAAATAAGCCAAAACAAAATGTGGGAACTGTGCGCACATGGCTGTATTGTTTCTCTGTAACTATGCTCTTGAACTTGGGTGGTACAGCACCTCCGTCCAGGTGTTGAGCAAGCCCGAACTGGACACATTTAGAAAGGGGCGGGACAAGGGTGCTTCCCGAAGCTTCTCTTTCGCAGCTTTTTGGCTGCACCTCACAGGCGGCTCCGTGGTTCAGCATTTACTAGATGCTGAGGTATTTTGCAAGAGCTTTGATGAGAGACTGTGAATTTTGTGATTGGAGGGTGGATGTAGGGTCATCGAAGGGAATTTGGGAGTTGATAATGGAGATTTTTGGAGTCACAATAGGAACTTGCTGTAAGTTGAGTTGAATGCTCCCAGTCAGATCCTCCAATGGGTAATTTATTTCCATTTTTCTTCTTTTCTCATATTAAGATGAGAAAGGAACTTTAGGATGGCTTAAAGTTCCATCTAAGACAACAAGTTGAGAATTATTGTTTTCATAATAGTTAAGTGTTTTCTAATTTCTTTTTACCAAGAGTTATTTAGATGTGTGTTTCCAATTAACAAAAGCTAAGCCTTTTATTGATTTCTGATGCACCTTATCTGTGTGCTGTGTGGTGCTTATTAATTGGAATGTGTTTAGAGTCCCTTTAAGACTAAGTCCAAGGCTCATTTTTATTAATATTGTATCTCTAGCTTGAAGATAGTATGAGTTCTCCAGCTGATACTGTTTTGTTCAAGATGTGTATTGGTCCTGTGTGTGTTCTTGCTCCCTTAATTGCCAAGAGTAGTGACTTGCTTGCATGTGTGCATATATATGATGCACACAGAAATGTGTACATATGTATATATGTATTTTGAGATGGAATCTCGCTCTGTCGCCCAGGCTGGAGTGCGGTGGTGGGATCTCACCTGGAGTGCAGTGGCACGATGTTGGCTCACTGCAGCCTCTACCTTCCGGGCTCAAGCGATTCTCCTGCCTTGGCTTCCTGAGTAGCTAGGACCCCAGGCACGCGCCATCACACCCGGCTAATCTTTAAAAAAATTTTTTTTCTAGAGATGAAGTCTCGCGATGTTGCCTCAGGCTGGTCTCAATCTCCTGGGTCGCAAACGTATATTTGTGTATTTGTGCATTTTATGTGGCGATATTGGGCACAGGTAGGAGTACTTTTCAGAATAAAGATTGTGAAATTTCGCTAGGTGGGTGGGTCAGGGCCCGTAGGGCCCTATGTGGCCTGTGCAAGTGGGGAGGAGGGGCAGGGCTTGGCGTCTTAACCTGTTTCAGCGGGCTGTGAGGTGAAGCTGCGTCCTCTCCGTCCCGGAATGCCAAGGAGCTTGTGGTGCTGCGAGAGTCTGGGCAGGGGGCGGAGCCTGGCAAGGGGCGGGGCTGGGTATGACCGGACGCCATGTGTGAGGTCCACAGGGCACGAAGGGTAAGGTGAGTCTGAGCGTCCCTCAACCCGTCCGCCCATCCATCCACCGTTTGATCCTCCCTCAATCCATCCGCCCATGCATCCACCATTTGATCACCCATTCACTCTTGCCCCAGGAGCGCAGAAGTGGGTAGGCGGAACCTGGGGAGACTAGCTGAGTAGTCCAGGCAGTGAGGCAGACTGAACTTGCCTGAGGGGCAGGGCCAAGTGTGTTTGGGCAGGCAGAGGTGGACTTGTCTGGGTCCATCGTGTTGGGTAAGCAGGGTAGCCTGTGTGTCTTGGAGGGAGGGGTGGATCAGGCTGAGCAGAGCAAATCTGAAGTGGTGGCACCCAGATTTTCTGGGCGGATAGGTAGGCCCTTATGCATGGAGGTGGGCAAGTTGGGGGCAGATGTGTCCAGGTGGATCAGCCAGGTGTGTCTGGATAAGGTGGGCAGGCAGGACCAGGTGGTATCAGTCATTCCTAGGCAGGCAGGGCCTAGTGCATCCAGCAGGTGTGGTTGCCCCAGGGTAGGTTGGCCTGAGGGTGAGGCCAGGAGTGTTGGGGCAGGGTTGTCTGTCCCTACCCACTTATGGCTGATCAACAGCCCTCTTTCCACGAGCATGGGAATACTACTAGTAATCTCTGGTCCCCAGTGAGTCTAGGATACAGGGTGGACAGGGAGTTGGGCTGATGCTGAGGGTCTGCCCCTCAGATCTTGCCTGTAACACCCCCAGAGACCTTGCTGTGGTCCCACTGGCCACTTGACAACTGCTTCAAACGCAGAAGTGCAGGCTAGCCGAGAAGCACCAGACAGCAGTGGTGCCACTGGCAGTAAGGGAGGCACCTGGGCAACAGCCACACCCCAGCTGTTGTCTGAAGAGGACCTGTCTTGGCACTGTGACCTGTACCAGGACACTTGCAGAGGGGATTTTTGGCAATCAAAGCCTGCCAAGTGTGAGGGAGGACCCTGGGGTAGAAGGATGGGGACAGTGAGGGCAGTGAGGTTCAGCAGTGAGGTGACAGGAGGCAGGGAGTATCCGAAGACCACTTTGAGAAACTAGTTGTGTGGAGTGTGTCAGTATTTCCTGATCTGCAGCCCTGGGTGAGTGACATCAAGAAGCTCCAGCTCATGGATCCCACAGGCAGAAGCAGGCAGTGAATGTGAAGCACAAGAAGAGTTTGAAGAAAAAGGTAGAGCAGAAGGTGACGAATTGAATGGGGAGCATGAAGGCAGGTTGGGGGTGGAATGCAGGGCAGGAGGGGTGCAGGAGTTGGGGGTTAACATCGACCCTCCTGACCCTGCCATGACCACTCTTGTCCTGAAGAAGGAGAAGCAGCAGACGCAGAAAAGGAAGCACACGGCTGGGCGCCGTGGCTCACGCCTGTAATCCCAGCACTTTGGGAGGCCGAGGCAGGCGGATCACAAGGTCAGGAGATCGAGACCATCCTGGTTAACATGGTGAAACCCAGTCTCTACTAAAAATACAAAAAATTAGCCGGGCGTGGTGGTGGGCGCCTGTAGTCCCAGCTACTCGGGAGGCTGAGACAGGAGAATGGCGTGAACCCGGGAGGCGGAGCTTGCAGTGAGCCGAGATCCCACCACTGCACTCCAGCCTGGGCAACAGAGTGAGATTCCGTCTCAGAAAAAAAAAAAAAAAAAAAAAAAAAAAAAGAAAAGGAAGTACACAGGCAAGTGGAAGCATCCGGAGCATGTCAAGGACCCAGCCTCACCACGGCAGTGCCTGGGACCCGGCTGTGTGTATCCCACTTGGCCGGGCTCCAAGTACTGTTCGGATGACTGTAGCATGAGGCTGGCAGGTGAGTGAGTGCACCTCGAGGTTAAGGGACAAAGGAGAAGTAAGGTGTGATCCATGCCATCTGTAATTCCACTCAGCCACCCACCCATCCACCGTCATAGTCACCCACTCACTGAACCGCCCATCCACATTACATCCACCAGGATGCTCATCCACCCTTATAGCCACTCACCCACCTGCTCATCCATCCTTATAGCCACTAACCCACCTGCCCATCCACCCTTATAGACACTCATCCTTATAGACACTCACCCACCTGCCCCTCCACCCATCCACCCACCCATCCACTGTTCAACCACCCATTCACTAACATGCCCTCATCTACCACTCGGTACCCTATAGAGTCACCATTCAGTAGCTCATCTTTCTCATTCCTCTGATGTCCCCATCTACCCATTTCATTTCTTGCTTTCTCTTCTTCCAGCTGCATCAATAACATCCTTCCCCAGTGCATCCAGCAGTGGTAAAGGAGCCCCTGCATTGCCAATGAGCATGGCAAGAAAATGCTCGAGCACATCCACCATGAGCAGCAGGACACCTATACTTGCCTGAAGGACACGGAGTGCCATTTCCATGAACTTGAGGCCATCATTCTGCATGGCAAACAGTAGGCTGTGTGCACGGATTGCTAGGCGAGAGGGCATTGGTGAGGTAGAGCTTAAAGGTACCTGGCCTCTTGTCCTGTCCCTCCCCATCCTGTACTGCTTCCCTGGCCCCTCCATTGTCCTGTGCAGAACAACAAAGGTGAAAAGGGCAGCAAAGACCTGCAGATCTTTTGTGTCTCCTGCGGGCAGCCCATCTCTAAGCGTGTTGCCTTGCACCACATGGAACGCTGCTTTGCCAAGGTTGGAACATTGACTGGGAGTCAGATGGGACAAAGGTGTTTTTGGTTGGGTGGGGTGGCACATGGGTAGGGTCCATGTGGTGGGGGCAGGTTTGGCGCCTGGATATTTGTTATACAAGGAATGCAACACACATCCATGGCTTCCCCTGTGTGTGCTCTTCCCCCACGCCCAGTATGAGAGCCAAGGTCAGGGCATTAACCAGTGGTGAGGGGGACACTGGCTGTGCAGACAGGAGCATAGGGTCTGCAGGGGACAATAGACCTGGTGTTTGGAGCTTTATTGTAGGAGGACACGCAGCATATGTCCACAGTTCCTCCCATTTGTGCTCTTTCTTTCCCAGTATGAGTGCCAACGGTCCATTGGGTCCCTGTACCCTACTTGCATTGAAGGGTGAGTGTGGGGGCTAGTAAGGGTCGAAGGCATTATGTGGACAGGGTCAGAAGCAAGGTTGAGCAAGGTCAGGGGCAGGATGTGGGTGGGCTCAGAGGCAGAGGCGGGTGTAGTTAGAGGCATGGTATGGGCGGGGTCTGGGACTAGGTGCAGGTAGGGTTCTGGGGTGGGACCTCCCTCCTCCTGACTCTCAGCACCTCACTTTTCCACCCCGCTCCAGGACCACATGGTTCTACTGTGATGCCTACAGTCTGAAGAGTAAGAGGTACTGTAAGCGCCTCAAGGTGCTGTGTTCTGAGCACTCTTGGGACCCCAAGGTGAGACCCTTCCTTACCTCATCACCTTCCATTCCTCCAATCCTCCCTGCCTGACTGCCCTCCGCATCTCCTCAGCAACCCCTGTGTGTCCCCCTTCCCTTCCTGACCACCCCACGTTCCATGCTCCTTGCTGCCTTTCACCCTCTCTTCTTCCTTTTCTCTCTAACTGGCTGTCTGTATTCATGCCCTCCTTGCCCGACCACCTTCCGGATGGTCCTGCCCCTCCTCACTGCAGAAGCACCCCCCAATTCTGATCCTCTTCTTGCTCGACCATCCTCCCTTCCTGCCCCACCGCCTGCCTGGCCAACCCGCTGTACCCTCCTCCTTGTGTGGCACCCTCAACTTCTCTTCCTCACTTTCTGACTTTCCTCCATTCTGATCATTTTCCCTGCCTCACTGACCCCTGATTCTATTTTCTGCCTGTCACCTACATCCTTTCTTCCTCCCTGTTTGACCGCTCCCCATTCTCTCCCTCCACCCTCCTCTCCTTCACCTCAGCCCTCACCTCCCCTCTGCATCAACAAACCCCACTCATCTACTTCTCCTCCTTGGACCACCCTCAACCCTTCCCTCCTCCTGCCGGACTGCTTTCCAGCCCTCCAGCTCTCCAGCTCTCCCTGGCCCACCTGCCCTCCAGCATCCCTCCTTCTGTTGGATCTCTTTCTGTGCTTCTGTTCTTACCTGCACCACCTGCATTCTTCCATCCCTGCTTAGTCAACCTCATTCCTCTATCCTCTATGCCTGATCACCCGCTATTTGTCCTCTCTTCTCTGAATTCCTCTCTTCCCCCTGCCTGATCACTCCCTATCCCTCTCCTCTCTGTCCTCCATCCCCCTGTTGTTTCCCTGTGCCTGATCATTCTCCAGGGCTACCCTCCTTCATAGCTCATCCTCCTTTATTCTTCACCATAGGTGCCAAAGGATGAGGTGGGCGGTTGTCCACTAGTGCATAATGTCTTTGAGTTCACGGGTAATTTCTGTTGCCTCCCCAAATGCCTGTGCAACTGCTACTACAGCTGGGAGAAGCTGAGGCGTGCCGAGGTGGACCTGGAGCGCATGCAGGCGGTAGGTGCCATGCCGAGGGGGCTGGGGGATGGGGTAGGATCCTGGACTCCCTCTCGAGCATTCAGGTCCCACAGTTGCACAAGCTGGAACAGCTGTTTGAGCAGGAGCAGAAGGTGCACACGTTTTTGATGAACCGGGTGGGGCTGCTGGCTCTGATGCTGCACAAGACGATCCAGCATGACCCATTCACCAGTGACTTGTGCTCCAGGGTGGACATCTAAGCCTTGCTGGACCTAGGTCCCATATACCACACCCTGTGTAAAGGTGACACCTCACAAATCCCTCCTCCCACACCTGCTGCTCCATCCACCTTTTTCTTATGGCATCTTGGAGTTTCTCTCTGTGCTTCTCTGTCCACCACTTGGTCTCCTGTCTCTCTGTCTACCCTTCCTTGGTGGTGGTCGGGGGGATTGTCTAAAAATTCCCCATTCCCATCCATTCCTCCATCCCTGTGCCTTTCTTCCCTGAACCTGGGTGAGGCCAAGGGATCTGCCCTGCTGTTATATCCACTGTCTAAAGTTTTCTTCATCAACTTGGGAAGAACAAGGATTTTGATAGCTCATGATGTTCCCTAAACCTGTCTCTCTGGCTGCAAACCCAATTCCAAACCTCCAATAGTTGGTGGGTGACAGGCCCCACCTGTCATAGCTATCATGCCCCTACCCGCACCCATCTTGTCCCGTTCCTGACCTTCCCACGAGGTCCTTGCCCTGTCAGCCTTGTCCCATCTCAGTCCAACCCCAGTCTGTCCTGCCTTTCACTTCCGGGCCCCCTCTTCCCACCACCCTGCTCTGACTGTGCCCTGTCCTTTCCAGCCTGTCCTGTCACACCTATTTCACACCTGTAGGTTTGCCAGAAGGTGGCTTCTGCCACATCTGCCTTTGCCAGCCCCCATCCAGGCCTTCTGTGCCATTGGAGGTGCATCCAGTAGTGTTGCTTGTGGGTGCTGGTATGTCTCCAATGACAGACCTGAACGACATTTCCTAATTTTTTTCCTATGCTCACTGATACCTTATGATTTTTTTTTTTTGAGATGGAGTTTCTTGCCCTGTCACCCAGGCTGGAGTGCAGTGGCCCGATCTCAGCTCACTGCAACCTCTGCCTCCAGGGTTCAAGTGATTCTCCTGCCTCAGCCTCCTGAGTAGCTGGGATTACAGGTGCACACCACCATGCCCTGGCATTTTTTTGTATTTTTAGTAGAGATGGGGTTTTACTATGTTGGCCAGGCTGGTCTCGAACTCCTGACCTCAGTTGATCCGCCTGCCTTGGCCTCCCAAAGTGCTGGGATTACAGGCGTGAGCCACCACACCCAGCCCTTATGACTTTTTAAAATCTGTTTTTATAATTACTCTCCTCCTAGGAACCCATATAGTTCTAAATGTTTAAGTGTGTTGCTCTAGACTTTATACCTCATATTCCAGTACAACTACTTTACATTACTACTTGTCTGGTACAGTATCTCCTTTCTCATTACTAATATTGTGTTTCTTTCTTTTTTTTCAATTTGATCAGATTTCCCAGAGCAGCTTTTTATTTATTTATACTTCCTAATTTTATATTTATTTTATTTATATAAACTTCTATTTGTATTACTTGTCACTTCTTGACTCTTTGTTTTGTGTTTTTATTTTTATGTTTTTTATTTAATTTTGCTGTTCTTCTGATTTCCTAAGTCATGTTCCCAACTCGATTATTTTGGGACTTCCAGTCTTTTTTCTTTTTTTTTTTTTTTAAATAGTAAAGTATTTGAGACTATACACTTTCCTCTATATGTGGCTATGTTTCAAACACTCTGGTATGGAAGGTGAAACCACAGAATTGACTTCTCATTTTGATCGTAGGTATTGAAGAAAGCTTCTTAGGTTCTTCCTGGTTAAGGTAGCTTAGTTGTCTTTTTTTATTTTTATGTAATTATGTTTTTTATTATCATCAGAGAATGTAGCCTGTAGAATATGAATTTGTAAATGTTATTCAATATTTTCTCTGTGGCCTGAGTACGTGACACAATTTTGTAAAACTTTCATGGATATAAGAGAAGAAACTATATTCTCTGTTAAATATTAGGACTTGGTGGGGACTTTTCAATCTAGTTGGATGATTTATTTTTTCTTTCTGTCTACTTCAGCTGTTATACTATAAAAAGGTAGAATAAATCTATTGTAACATTTTAAAACAAATTTCTCCTGTGGTTCTGTGTTTTTTGGGGGGAGATGAATCCTAAAGTATATATCTTAGACCATTTCACACAGTGACATTACGTATTTTTTTTTTTTTTTTCTTTTGAGATGGAGTCCCGCTCTGTCACTCAGGCTGGAGTGCAGTGACCCGATCTTGGCTCACTGCAACCTCTGCCTCCCAGGTTCAAGCAATTCTCCTGCCTTAGCCTCCTGAGTAGCTGGGATTACAGGCATGCGCCACCACGCCCGGCTAGTTTTTGTATTTTTAGTAGAGATGTGGTTTCTCCAAATTGACCAGGCTGGTCTCGAACTCCTGACCTCTAGTGATCTGCCCGCCTCGGCCTTCCAAAGTGCTGGGATTACAGGTGTGAGTCACTGTGCCTGGTCAATTTCTGTTCATTTTTGTCCCTCCTGTTTTCCTCATTAGTTTGGAAAGTTTCATTTTTATTAAGTGTCCCATTATATACTTTTCCCATTTCCAACAGGCATGATTTATTTCCTTTACTATTTTATCCGAATATAACTGGACCTTATTTTATAGAAAAAGATGAATAGTATTGCTTTCTTATTTTTCTAGAAAAATTTAAGCTGTGTATTTAAAGGCTATATTTTTCTTATAGGTTGAGTTAATCCTGCTTCAAGAAATCTCACCTAACATTTTTATTCAAACTCCCCAGTGACTTCATCTATTATAATTTAACTTTAACTGTATGAGTGTGTGCTCAGGGGTGTGTATTTTACCTCAACATTAATTGTGGACCATTGTTTTGCTCTCTTATTTTGAGATCTCTCTTATGATTTCATATTCATTTATTTACAATATATCCCTCAGTGTTTTCTTTAAGCAGAATAAATTGGTGAAACACTATTCAAATTATTTCATGTCTGAAACTGTCATTCTTTTGCCCTGACCAAGGAATGGTTTCTTGGGATGGGGTACAGGATTGGAATTCTTATCTCTCCATGGCCTATGGTAGGGGTGTCCAATCTTTTGGCTTCCCTGGGTCACACTGGAAGAAGAAGAATTGTCTTGGGCCACACATAAAATATAATAATACTAACAATAGCTGATGAGCTAAAAAAAAAAAAATAGCAAAAAAAAAAATCTCAAAATACTTTAAGAAAGTTTACGAATTTGTGTTGGGCTGCATTCAAAGCTGTCCTGGGCTACATGTGGCCCATGAGCTGCAGGTTGGACAAGCTTGGGTTATGGGAAGTAACTTCTACGATAACCCTCAGTGATCCCTGCCTCCTGGAATTCATCACCTTCTCTCCATTTGAGTAACTTGCTTCTAACCAATACAATACCTTAACACTGAGAGAATACCACCTTTGCGGTTAGATTACAAGAGATCATAGCTTTTGTCTTGGTGACAGGCTCTTTCCCTTGTTGGTTTTGGCAAAGCAACATGCCATGTTGGGAAGGCCCATGTAGCAAGAGACTAAGGATAGCCTCCAACTATCAGAAACTGAGGCTTTCCGTACATTCCAACATCCCAAAAGGGATAGAATCCTGTGAACAACCACATAAGTGAGCTTGGAAGTAAGTCTTTCCCCAGTTCAGCCTTCAGATGAGGCCACAACTCCTGGCTGACACCTTGACTGTAGCCCTATGAGAGACTCTGAAACAGAGGACCCAGCTAAGCCATACCCAGATTCCTAACCTACAGAAACCATGAGAGTGTGTGTTTTTAAGGCCATCAAGTTTTTATAATGGTAATTTATAATACAGCAATAGATAACTAATACATGGTCTGTAGATGTTAAATGACATCTGAATTCAATTTTTGTCAATGAGCTGTCTGCAGCTGGTCTTATTCCTCTCCCTTGTATAAAACTTGTTTCTGCATGGAAGTGTTTAAGAATTTCTCCTCGTCTTTGGACTGTAAGACTGTAACCTTTATCTGCAAAACAGAGAGAGATTTTTTAAAAGGCTGTAACCAAATTTGGTCATTGCAAGGGTTCCTGTGGTGATTAATTATTTTTAGCAGC